CTTCATCTCTTTCCTGTCACCCTCTGGAGTTGCTACTGGGCAGCCTTTCCACTCTGGGGGGCTCTCTTTGCTCCCAGAGGGCTGACCATGGCTGCAGGGGAGGGGCTGGCGGGCCTGGAAAGTTTCCAATTAAAAGCACTTTCCCCCTTTCCAGCCCCTCATTGTGGGTCCCGGCTCCCTTGCCCATGGGCACAGCCTGGCGTGAGTGCCCTGCGCCGCCCTCCCCCAACCAACAGCTCCTACTCCTTCCTCGCCCCTCTGGGCAGAAATGGCTAATCCAGGTGGTTAATGAACAGACAGCTGCCTTCCACCCCCTTCCACCCCTCCCAGCCCTCCTCTCCTCCTCTGACTCCCTGATTGATGCCCCTGCCTGCCCCTCTTTCTGAGCTGGAGAATCCACACAGAGCTAACCTCAGTGTCAGCCCCCGCATTCAGGACCAGGGCCAGGACTGCCTGCCCAGATGTTTTTGGGCTGGCCACTGTCCTAGAAGAGGAAGCTGGGAGGGGGAGATGTGGGGGTGACAGAGAGAAGCCTGCTGTGCTCCCAGGCTGCTCCCAGCAGTGGGGTGGGATGGGGTTAGGGGACAGGATGGGTGCTGGGTGGGGAGGGCAGGAAGGTGGCTGTGGGGTGAGAACAGAAGGGGAACTGGAAACTAGGGTTCCACAGTCCTTGGGGACAGGGACTGTCATCTGGAAGCCCAGCTGCCCCTTCCCGGTGGCAGAGCAGAGGTGGGGTTGGGAGGGTGTGGGGAGCACTCTCTTTCCTCTTCCTGAAGCTGCCTGGGGGTGGGGTGGGGACCACTGTGGCTCAGACTTGGTCTGAAGTTGCTCCTTCTCCTGTCAGCTGGTGGCTACTCCTGTCTCCCCAGTTCTGCCCCAGATCTTGCAGCTTGTTACGGCTGAGGCACCCTCTGCAGGACCCCGCTGGCCCCGGGGTGTGGGAGGGAGGATCTTGATTGGGACTCTTCCTGAAGCTGCCTGGGGGTGGGGTGGGGACCACTGTGGCTCAGACTTGGTCTGAAGTTGCTCCTTCTCCTGTCAGCTGGTGGCTACTCCTGTCTCCCCAGTTCTGCCCCAGACCTTGCAGCTTGTTAGCGCTGAGGCACCCTCTGCAGGACCCCGCTGGCCCCGGGGTGTGGGAGGGAGGATCTTGATTGGGACTGAGAGTTGGGGCAGAGCCCTAAATGGGATCAGCCCTAGAGACCCAGACTGGGCTTGGCCTGGACCCTGCTGCCCATGGAAATTAGTGCATAATTCTCCATTTTCTTTTTTACACCAGAACCAACTCTATTATAATTATGTTTCATGCTCCACTTTCCATGTCAGTACACAGAGATCGAACTCATTCTTAAGACATGTACGGTGCTCCATTCTGTGGATGTACCAACATTTATTTAATCTTCTTCAGAGCTAATTTGGGTTACTTCTACATTTTTAACACTTTCAAGTTTTTAAACAAAGCCACAAAAACATTGCTGAGTCTGTGAGCACTTATAGAAGGTTTTAGAGCCTTAAATCTCAGCAGTAGAAACACTGGGTCTTTCTGGCTGTCCTTCTGGATACCTCATCCCATACTTCTACATACTTCTCTTCCCGCAAAGGCCCCGGGCAGACTTTCCATGGGGTGGTAGTGTCCAGGAGTTGTAAACGGAGAAGCTGGTGGCCAGGTGGAGTGGGGCCGGGGTGGGTGCATGAGTTCAGGGAAGAGGTTACTGTGTTTTGTGACCATTTTCTTGTCCCTGGCGTCCTGTTTTGTGACTGTTTTCTCATCCTTGGTGGCCTGTAGGTGAAGCTTTGGCATTTGGGAACCCTCAGCCATATAGGAACAGGAAGCGACGGGGGCAGAATGGATTTTTGGTTGACGGAGGGGACCCCACAGATGGAAGCTGGGCTCACTTTAGGAAAGAGCTTCCTACCTCTGGCAGGTCTGTGGGAGAACGGGCTGCCTGGTAAGGCAGTGAGCTTGTTGTCCTGGGGGCATCAGACAGAGGCTGGACAATAGCTTGGAAGGATTCCTGAGCTGGGATGTGGTTAGAGGAGATGACCTTTAAGGTCTCTTGGGATGCTGAGGTCCTCATGGTTAGAAGAGATGACCTTTAGTGTCTCTTGGGATACTGACCTGGGATTCTTGGAATCAGGAATTCTCAGACAGGGATTGAAAATCCTTTGGCCTGGGGCATGGGCACAGACAGGACTCTCAGGGTCCCTCACCCCTCCCGTGTTTGAGGAACAGAGAGTCTGAGGCTCTGCTGTGGCACCATGCTCCTCGCTCATACCCATCCAGCTGTCGCTCAACCCCATACCAGGTCTGCTCCCCAGTGCTTCCTGCAGGGGCTCTGAGCTGCTTCCTGTTCTTCTCCAATCCTTGCCCTGCTGGTTAACCCTGGAAGGGCTGGAGCAGACCCGGGAATGCAGCTATGAACATTCATGGACAAGTTTTCAGTTCTCCTGGATATATATCTAGGATGGGAATTGCTGAGTCAGAGGGTAATTCCCTGTTTAACCGAGCAACTGCTGAGCTGGCTTCCGAAGCAGCTGCACCGTTTTACATGCCCACCAGCAATGTATGAGGGTTTCAGTTTCTCACACCCTCACCAGCATTGTTACTATACACATATATACACTATATTAGTAATAATATACACATAATAATATATATTAATAGTAATAATATATTAATTATGCACAATCTGGTGAATGTGAAGTTGTTCCTGGGACTTTTCACTTTCTGTTTAATCTTTTAAACTCTGAGTTCCATTTTAGGGTAGAACATAAACTTGGATATTGTCATAGGACAGCATACCTCGCAGTAAAGAAATGGCAGGATGGTGATCTATATTGGTTCAAAAGAAAGCTAATTTGGTAGCTGGTTTACTTTAGTTTATTCTGAAAAACCGGGATGATATTTCAGAGTGGCTGCAGACAGCCCTCTCCACCAGGCACCCCCCAGAAGCACATCTCAGTACCAAGGGCAAAGCCCACAGACGTAGACCAGGTGTGTGGGGAACAGGGGAGTCAGAAGAGGATGAAGGCATGCTCATGCAGGACAGGAAGGGACCCCACCAGGACTGGTGAGCCACCAAAACAAGGGTAGTGTGTCTCTTCCTGTCTTTGCTACTCCCTGCCACCCTGCCCCCTTGTTCTGAGAGCATCCTGGCTCTCTCTGCTCAAGCCCTCCTGGCATAATACAGCTG